AGGGCCTGAAGGAAGTCACTCTATAGTACTAAAGGAACTACCTGAAGCAGTATCAAGAACACAAAGAGGACAAGAGAGGTCTTAGAAGACTAGAGAATGACAAACGCAGGAGCTATACTTAAAAAGGGGGGAAAGGAAGATCTGGAAAATTACAGACAAGTCTGTTTAATACCAAGCATAAGTTTGGTATTAAACAAAAAGACTGAACAAGCAATTTATGAGAACCAAGCAGATAAAATGATACAAAGGAGGCAACATGGTAGTGGGGTTTTTTTGACAAGGTAACTGGCTTACTGGTTATGGGGAAAGCAGTAGATGTAATATGCCTTAACCTTTTTCTAGTACATAGAAGGTTGTTAAAAAAAAGAAGCCAGTGATCAATAGTTTCCATGTCCATGAGGGTAGACAAGAATGTATCATCTTAATCTGTGGCAAAAAAATGTAGTTTAGACATTAGAAAAACCTTTCTAATCACTACTGTAACGAGCTACCTCAAGAGGATGTGGTATCTCCTGCATTAGAGGTTTAAGAGCAGATTAGACAGATATCAGTCAGGGATAGTACAGGTATGCTTGGTTTTGCTTCAAGACCTTGGATTAGGGGAACTCTCAAGGTTTCTCTCTCAGCCCTATATTTACATGATTTTAATGGCAAAAGGGTTTTCAAATAGGTCTGTTTTTCATTGTCTAATGGATGCCCAGACAGCTAACCTTTTCTATCTGGCAGAGAAGGGGATTTTACTGGTTTCCTTGCTGGTAGTAAGAGCATCTTCCATTTGATGGCAACGATGATAAGACATCCATGCTGTCTGCTCTGGGTCCAGAATATGGATTCCCTCTTTGAGCTATCAATGCCTCACTGAGGAGACTACTTGGTTGGAGCACAAATTGAGAGAGTCATTGGTCTAAGAACCAAAACTTGCTTCATATAGGCTGGTGCCAACATGATCACCTTGGCCAAGTCCTGTCTGAATTTGTTTTTATTGCTCCTGTGATTAGAGGGAAAACATGCATCAAACCCAGGGACCAGGGCCAGGAATACATCTGAGAGTTGTTGGCCTTGAGCTCTTCTCTGGAGCCAAATTTACTATATTTTTCTGTTGTTTGCTGCAAACAGGTATGTAGAATAGTAATCCTAATTGGCCAGCTGAATCCTTTAATGACCATTTATGGCCACTCACAAGCTGTTTGATGAGGCAAACTAGAGAATCATATAGGCCTGGAACAGAGAACCACAAATTTTATCTCATGATAGATATATATGCTCTATAAACAAAGCTTCTTGGCAGAAAACAGTGGTTCTCAGGGATCTCGAAATGATTATGTACAACAGGGATGTGAAAATCACCTGGAGTCCTGGGCCAGATCCGGAACATAGGGTTGCAGCCCAGGGCTGCGGCAATGGCCACTGAGGGCCAGGCTCAGTGAGGCCAAAGTGCACCAGGTTCTGCCTGAGGCCATGCCCCACCCAACTTCTGGTGTCTGCCTAAAGAGATTATGGAATCTCCATTGGAGGTTTAAGAGCAGGTTAGACAAATATCCATCAGGGATATCCTGAAGAGAGGTACATACTATAGGTTTACCCTCTGAGAGACAGCTGGCACTAGAAGGGATAATGACTACTAATAAGTTTGAACCTGGCACTTATCTAGAAACACAGAGGTCTCTAGATACCATACAAGTCCTTAATATTGATATTGAGAACTTAATTACCTAAAGAAAATTTATCAACTAATCATCACTGAAGACACTGGTACCCTGAGTTTCAGTGCTGCCTGACCAATACTGTCAACAATGTGCTCTTCTCCCAAACAAAATAAGCATGTGCTATGCTCTGCCTTGAGAAACTTAATCTACACAAGGCAATTCTTAACCTCAAAAATTCTGTTCCGTTTAAACTGGCAGGAATTAACTAGGGAAAAACAGATTCCTAAACTATAGGAATGAATAAAAAAGGGATATACTACATTAAATCTTATTACTTATCAGTAATATATTGACCTCTATCTGAAGCTATTTACAAACTGTTAAAAGTCCATGTAGAGAGCAAGTGCTCAGACAAAGGCAGAGTTTTGACTTGGAGCCATGGGAAGTAAGACTGAATTGAAAATGTTTGGGAGTTACACTGCCTCTTGTGACTTTAGCCAGAGGCACGAGGACATTAAAGTTGCAGGCATAATCCCCAAAGGATATTACAAAGCCAAAAAAATCCAAACAAAAGTAGCTTAATAGCCCATCTAGTGGTGGTGTGCATACACCCTAATCAACACACTGACATTCTCCTTGTATTACACATTATATTTCATCTATCTAAACATGTGGTAAGGTAAGAAACCATCTAGTAACATAAAACATTTTCCTGGTTAAGGCTATTAAAGTATGACCTACCGTGCAGGACCAGATGGCTCTTCCCTGGCAGAACTTAATACAGTTTTGACTATGAGTTCCTAAAACAAAGATGAAAATGTTCAGTCAGTTGCTAAAAACTCATTCACATGAAGCACTGGGAGACCAAGGCTTTTGTTGTATTGTACAATGACATATTCCTGCGTTGGGTCTCAAACCAATGACTCTAATGTGTCTAACACAAAATTAAAAGAAGTCTTAAATTTTACATTATTTGCTCCCAGTACCATCTCTAATGTACTTGTTTTTCAAAATAAGGTGTGATCCTTACGGAAAAACCCTACATCACAAAAACTTGAACAGAAACAGAACATAGGAGAAAACAACAACAAAGTAATAAGAAGCCAAGTAGTATTTACTTAAATACAACACAAACTCCCTAAACCAGTGGTTCTCAACCTTTGGTACTTTATGTACCAGCTGCCAATTGATGCGGCAAAAGCGAAACCAGAAGTCCCACCATGGTACTTCTGGTTTTGTTGCCACGAGCCAAGTCCCACTTTTTCCTTGTGGACCACGGCCCAGGGCAAAGCAGCTTGCGCAGGGCCCCCTCCCTGTCCCCCAGCACAGTGATGCTGGGGAGTGAAAGCCCTGGCACACCCAACATGGTGGGAAGGGCGGTGGTTGGAACTTGTGGCCCGAACAGACAAAGATGCCTGCAACCCGCTGGGCTGGGCTGGGCTGGGGCCGGGTCGGGCTGGGGGGGAAGGGGGGGCCAGTAGGCCAAACTCAAAACGCAGCACCCGCGTACCCCCTACGCATGTTTTGCGTACCCCCCAGGGGTATTCATACCTTGGGTTGAGAAACATTGCCCTAAACTTTCCCCTCACCAAAAAAAAAGTTACCTGTTGGAAACTGGGATATGTTTTAAATAATCAAGTGTGGGGAGAAGAGGGCCTGATCCTGTAGGAGACAAGCTGCCTGGCCTGCTGGTTGACCACATGGCCCCAAAGAGGGGCCAGGCAGTTTGACTCTAGCAGAATCAGGTCCTCAGTTGATGCAGCAGTTATCAATGGCTAAGCAGAATTGCTTCTTGAGCTGAGCTGGGGGGAGGGGAGGAGAGGGGGAGTAGCTAGCAGCCAGTAGTACCTGATGAATCAGCTGACAGCCCGATCCTGAGGAAGCTGAACTGCCTGTCACTTCTAGTCTAGCCAGAGGGGCCCTCAGCTGATTTCATAGGTGCTGCTGCCTAAGATCATGCCCTTAGCTGGCAGGTGTTGGTAGCCACCCACTCAGCTCAGTTTGAATAGAGAAAAGAAGCCAGGTTGTTCAGCTCAGCCAAAAATGCCCACAGTGTTCTACAGCTAGGGGGCTAACAGGGCAGCCACAAGTTTCTTGGTCTAGTTCCCCCACATTGCAGCTGCCTGTGTTTTCCCTGAGAAAACGCTGTACTTACTGGTATTTTTTAAGGAAAGATCTCTTTCTTCAATCCACCTTTCAAAAACAAGGAGTGTGTTTTATTTGGGGGCATGTGGTACTCAAAAAAAATAAAGTACATTTGTATGTAATATGTTATTCAGTAAAAGATGTTTCATGTTTTAGTAGCCTGTATAGAAAAAAGTTATCAGACTGTTTATCAATAGCCTAACCTGTTTGACTAGCTATCAGCCAATTCCTGTGTTAAGAAGCTTTCTGCCCAGACAATAGCCAAATGCATTTCAAAAGGAAAATGCACAAAATGAATATTAGAGAGGACACCTAACTTTGTCAGACAAATGTCTATCTGGGGGATGAAATCATATGCAAGGACATGAATATTTCTATCTGCTCTGAACAGAACAGAGAGTGAAGATGAGGGAGATATGATAAGCAAAAGGTGTCCTTGGGGAAAGAAAAGATACTCAAGTCTAAAGGGAGGGAAAGACCCCATTCAAGGAAGCTGGTGAAACATTTGGAAACTACAATAGGAGTACTAGCTGCTGGAGCAGAGAGAATACCAAGACAACTGCTTCAGGTTAAAAGTAGCAGTGAAATATTCTGTTAAGAAGATAAGAAGTGCTATAAAAAGGGTCAGACCAATGGTCCATCTAGGCCAGTAACCAGTCTTCAACCGTGGCACAAGCGGATGCTAAAGGGAAAGCACTGAAACAGATAATCTAGAGTGATCTATCCCCTATTCATTACCCTCCCTGGAAGCTACTATTATTGGTTTAGAGATGCCAGAGGAAATGACTCCAGACATTTTGTTTTGTCTCTAAACCTAACCACTCTTTAGCTTATGTTTTTCTGTTTTATGTAATAAATCTGTTTTTCTCCTTGCAGTTTGTCTGCTGATGAGAGTGACTTCAGGATGGCTGGCAGCAACAGACATTCTGTTTTCATGGATACAGACATTTTATTTTGAAATCCCCAGGTATGCCAAAGAGTTCAAGGGGGCCTCTGCCACTAAGTTATAAAGATCAGGGTGCTGGTCAGACAGATTTTCTAGGGGTGAGGAGTCCTCCCAGAAGCAAGATCTGGTCAAAACCCTGAGGCTATGCAGCAGGACAGTGGACAGAAGATCCAGGACTCCGGAGTCACCTCATGGTGAGACCTAATGATTGCTGCATGTACTCAGCATTTTTAGATTATCATATGTAGAGTACAACGCTATGTCCAATGAACACTTTGAACAAGGCTTTAAACCATCATGCTGTTCCTTCAAATTTACAATAGTCCACAAAAATCTTCAGAAGTGGCTTCACAGAAATTCTGTCTGTTGTGAGGGTGAAGTCCGCACCAATTTTATCTAAATCAAGTGCTAAAGTGTCCTTGGAGAGGAAATTCTTCATAAAGCTCATGTAAAAAGTCTTTGCACAATGAAGAACATGGAGGCTGGAGAAAATTATCGCTGGGAAGTGTGCAGTGTGGGATCCTACACTTGTAAGCATAGTAGCCAGACTCCCAGCTTGAGCATGCTAAGCTAGCAGAGTGTCCAGCTTTGTTGCATGTTAGGGTCTCCATGAATCTGTATTTTATGGCAATGAGATCACATATGGGTTTTCTGCAGTCCCTAAACACATGGGTGAATTTCATACCAAGTGAACTGCAAAAATAATAAGCAGTGCACCTAGAAGCTTTACTCCTAGTGCTTCTCTTTCATAACCGTTTAAACTTGTAGAGATTTTTCAAGTGATCGTGGTAACAATTTATATAACATTGTGAAAATAATGCAGTTTTATTTATTTATTTTTTTAGAATATATGTAGTTATTTTGACGATTTTTTATTGATAAGCAGTAATTTCAAAGTAACTATCCTTCAGCTGTTCTAAGATTGACATATTTTATGAACTTTTAGGTCTTGTACTCTACTAAGGAAGAAACTTAAAAAGAATTTTGGAATCTCTAAATACAAGTAAAAATTGCTGAAACACTGATACCAAAACAAGCAATTCATAGCTTCAACGTCACCTAAATATTCTTAATATTCCCACCTTGACATCAGTGAATTGAGATACAGCAATATCAGGTGTGTTTGGATGTAGAGCTGGTAGTTCACGATATAAATTGGGAAAGCACACCAGAGATCCCAAAAGAACTTGTGCTTCCACTCTTGGTGCCTGAAGAAGGGGAAACAAAAATATCATCTTACTGCAATAACAAGGCTATCAATAATATAAATACATGAAATACTCAGCTATTTTGTATGCTGAACTTTTATTGAGTATATAGACAAAGGGATGTTCAAGCAGCTTGCACATCTCAGAAAAACACAGCAACTTAATTTATTTTATGAATGCTTAAATTAGTTGCTATATTGAAACAGATGACTGATAGCTCTATAGTGTCACAACCCAAAGGGTGTGTTTTTTGTTTGTGTGTGCTTCGGCACTGCTAAATTGTCCCCGCTAAATTGCAGCTTCCTTGCACGGTGGAGTTTTCTGCTGCAAAAGAGAACCCCGGTGCAAGGGAGAATTTCCCACCAATTTGAAGCTTTCTTTGCAGGGTGCATTTCTTTGTTGCAGCACAGAGATGCTCGTTGCAAAGAGTTCCCACCATTTGTATGCTAATTCGAGTCCCATTATTGGCCAGTTTTAAATTATTCACACGTGGCGGCTAGTGATTGGCTTGCTAGCCATATAAGAGGCTTGAGTGGTTTCCGCCCAAGTTGGAGGACTCCACGAACAAGGGAGGAGGAGACTTCACGCTGTGTGAAGATCTCTAAGCGCTGCGGATCCTTACGGACCCAGTGCATTTCAAGCAGGCAACAGAGGTCTGATCAACCTCTAGCCTCTCCCCGTCGCC